TGCTGTAACACTGTATTTATAATATGCCTTGGGGGACAGATAAGACCAAATTGGCCTTTTTTATGCTCTAATTTCCCACACGCATATCACTTGATTTCATTAGGAAACACAGCATGAAACTGATAAACTCAGTGACTGTGTTCTTACTAGCAGTTACTGTAAGCATTTTAAAACTACAGCAAATAGCCTAAGTGCTCTCCAGTTCCTGCTCCTGATTAATAAGATTGATCGGCCTCCATTCATTCAAACACCGTAATGAACTCTAACTTGACTGCACTAAACAGTGTGGACTGTAAGCATAAACCAGGAACGATCTCCTAAAACTAGAGCCCAGGAAAGGCTCTGTTAATTCAACAGTCGCCTCCTACAAAACACACTCCTTCCCAGTGCCTGTGTCCATGTCCTCCCCCCAGGCCAGGGTAAACCCTGAGTTTGCAGCCCTGCCCTGCTCCCCGCACGCTTGCTGCACGCCTGCAGAGGAAACGTGGACAGGCAGCCCCAGCTGGACCCCAAGCAGTGCAGTCTGGTAGAGCAGGCTCAAAAATCCACTCACTTTAGACACCAGCTATAGGAAATGTAGCCTCACTGACTGAGGACTTTCCCGTGACAAATGGTGGCACTGATGTGTTCCTCGGAATGCTCTGTAGATGTGCTTGGTAAACTTCAGCGTGTTTTATAAATGACAAATGAACAGTCCTCACAAACACATAGTATTGCTATTACAAAACAGAACACCTTCTCATCTGACCCATCTGACCCTGAAATGTTTCTGTATGTTTCAAATGATGAAAGAAGAATTTAAAATGAAAACAATCCTCGTAACAGTCACCTACATATTAAAATGATTGGCCCCAGAAATGTTAATAGTAAAAATTCTGCATTCCTCATGATGTTATAAGAGATCCATTTGTTTGCCTTCTTTCTTGGAAAGCTTTTTTTTTTTTTTTTTGAGGGACATAAAAGGTGGTCCTGAAAGCAACCCAACAAATAAAAGCTGTTTCCTCCCATCTTGCCCCTCAGCATCTCACAGTGAACAAAGAGAATCCATGTCTCTGCAGCACACATTTCCTTGAGGGAAAAAGAGGTTTGCATCAGTTCCGGAGCACAGCTGCATGACAGTGCTGCTGAAATTGTTTTGCATTTAGGTCAAATCTCGAAAAGATCTTTAAAATACTTCCAGCTCTAAGAATGTGTTAGGTGAGACTCTTCAGGTATATCTTACACACTGAAATAAGGCACCAGGGAGACTTAAGGAAAGCCCGAATCATTATTCAGGTAATGGGGAAACAAACTTTGTGGTATTTTAGCTATGATTCTTGTATGAGCAGAACTGTGTCCAGCAACTTTCAGAGGAACAAAGGTATCCAGGAAAAACCTGCAGCTCAGCTCAGTGCTTTTTAGATGGACAGTTGCACACAGGCAATAAAAGGGAAAGCAGGAAAATAATGTGGCAATTAGACTGAGTCTAACAGAAGAAATTTCATCATCAAAACTACTTCAGCATTCCTTATTTTTAAAAATAGGAATTTTAGGACTACAAAGGTAAAATATGCCTTTCCACTTCTTTTTCTAACTGCTTATTAATGCTGGTTTGACTATGTCTTCTCTGTGAAACATATGAAACACATAGCACATTTTACAGCTGTACAATTGATGTATAATACAATTGATGTATCAGGAATTTAGAAACTGAACAGGGATTTATTTACTTAACTGGTAACCTGAGAATGCTGATACATGTTTCATTGAAACTGAATTATACAAACATAATATAACTAATATTTTATTCTTTTAAAATATTCTTTGATTTTACCCCAGCATTATTTCATTATAGATAATTGAAAATATTCCACAGTCAAAAAGCAAGTTTGACATAATACACTCACAAGTTGTCAAAAAAAAATTGCCATATTATTGCTAAACCGAACCATATCAGAGTATGTCATGAGCTGCATGGCAGGCAAGAACTCGATACTAGAAAACCTTTGGGCAAGTACAAGTACTAAGGCAACTTAGTGACTGTCTCTGCAGAACTTGTGTAACCAGGTGTGGGTTCAGTCCTGTAATCCTTGTTTAGCTTTTAGCTGGACAAAATGTAGCTCTTTTTAAATTTCAGTGGCAGTTTGTCCTGTTAGTAGCATATTGCTGTTAATGTAGCTGCCACCTCCTAGTAGCCCTGCATATGAATAAGCCTTGCTGTCATCAGCATGCCCCGACAGGGGATTTGGTTTGCAGGAACACGCTAAGGGGAAGCTCCTATCAGCCCTGCAGGCCGGCAAGGCGAACGTGGCTCCCCCGCGCTCCCCAGCTCCTGCCTCATCTTGCGCTGCGCTGTTTTTTTTGCCGGGAGGTCGGCATCGCAGGAACCATTTTCTCAGCAGGGCAACGTTTTGTGCCACAGCATCCCAAAAGCGACCGCGCTGTCCTGCACATCCCTGCCTTCTGCAGGCACAAAACCTCCCCTTCTTTCACAAAAGAGAAAAGAAGCCAAAGGTCTTGCCTGCTGCATACAGCTCTCTCCCAGCATTCAGCATTGTCCTTTTCTTTACAGTACCTAATTCTATTGATATTTCCTGATTATCTAATAGAATTTACTCTGACCTAAGAGAGAGATTAATTTTTGACTCGATATTTACTGCCATGTCGCTCTGTCTGTGTTTGCAGAAAGGATGTTGCTCATGTACATTTAGGCAATTAGAATACATAATTTTCCTATAATTAATTGATTTCAGTCTCATACTCTCTGCAAGATATTGCTTACTGTCAGAAATGTGCAGTCCAAAAGGGCATTCTTGAACCTTTTATTTTGGAAGTATGAAGGGTCTAAAATAAATAGAAGTAACTATTCAAATACATTTTGTATTGCAGGTGGTAGTTGTGTCTCCATACAATACAATATGGATTAAAGAAATACACAAGCTAATTTCTTTAAGACACGGAATATAATGGCATAGACACATTCAGATCAAATCTTATTTGTGTCATACTTAACACTGCCTGACCTTTTGGTGAGTATTTAAATTCAACTTAATTTAATAATTATTAGTATTTTATTTTTCTATATTGATTGTTCAAGTTTAGGATTAAAAAAACAGTTAAAAACTACTGACTTTGGGACAGACACTGCAAGACCCTAAGTACTGCAACCTCTGAGGATACACATACATTTATTTTTTAAGAATATATACCGTTACTTGCAGATTAATCAATGCAAAATGATCATGCAATTAAATATGACAGCCAGAATTGAAGTTTAAAGCTGCAGATCATGTTTTTCTTACTCCCAGTGCTACTTGAAATCTCTCATACCTTTACAAAAGTATAATTAGCTTTGGATTTACCCCCAATAAATAACAGCAGAACATACCTTGTGCTACCAACCTGAATTTTAAAAAGCAACAGAGGCCACCTCAATGTTTTGAGTTTATGGGGTCTTTCAGACACCAAGCCCTAACAGAGCTTCCCAGGTAAAAGGCATCAGGAAGGATCATCGCTTAGAGTGAACTTGGGCTTTAGCCTGACAGATCTTTTCCTTATGGTGGCTCTCGGGGAAAATGGCATGTTGTCCATAATGCTCTTGTCTTCCTCCAGTTGCCTAGCAGTGCACGAAGGGGTGGGCACTTTCACCGTGTTGCCAAACTTAGAGTAGTCCACAGAGTATTGCCCGTCTTCTTCTGCTACAATGGGCACGAACCTTTGGCCCCAGAGGATTTCGTCGGCCAAGTAGGAGGTCCTGGCTTGTGTGGTGATGCCGGTGGTCTCCACCACCCCTTCCAGGATGACGATGATCTCCAGGTCCTCATGGTGGTGGAGGTTCATGGGGGAGATGTCGTAGAGGGGGCTGTTCTTGTCTATCACATGGTAGATGATGAGTGGGGAGACAAGGAAGATGCTGTTGCCCCCCACGGGGTTCTCCATCTGGATGTCAATCTGGTTGAGGGGCACCACCTCACCCTCCATGCTAGTAGTCTTCTTCACCACCTGCATGCGAATGGTGGCGCTGATAATCATGCTCTTGCGGAGGTCGCCCACACGCAGCATGAAGCAGAGCTTGCCTTCCCGCAAGGCGATGACTGCGTGCTTGCTGAAGATGAGGGTCTCTGCGCGGCGGTGGGCCTGCGAGGTCTTCATGAAGATGCAGCCCAGCATAATGGCGTTGATCACAAGCCCCACGATGTTCTGCACGATGAGCACCAGGATGGCGGCCGGGCACTCCTCCGTCACCATGCGGCCCCCGAAGCCGATGGTCACCTGCACCTCGATGGAGAAGAGGAAGGCAGAGGCGAAGGAGTGGATGCTGGTCACGCAGGGCACAAAGTCCGCTGGGGGCCCTGCCGCCCCGTCAGCCAGGCCCCGCTGCACTCGCGTGCTGTGGTCCAGATCACCGTGCGCGAAGGCTATGAGCCACCAGACCATGCCAAAGAGCAGCCAGCTGCACAGGAAGGACATGGTGAAGATGAGCAGCGTGTGGGGCCACTTGAGGTCCACCAGGGTGGTGAAGACGTCCTGCAGGAAGCGGCCCTGCTCCCGGATGTTTTTGTGGGCAACGTTGCAGGCGCCGTTCTTGCCCACGAAGCGTGCCCGCCGCTCCCGGGCACGGTAGCGGGCGTGATCGGGCAAATCCTCCGCCAGCCGGGGCAGCACGTACTCCTCGGGGATGC